GCGAAGACGGTGCAACGCGACTCACGTATACTGCAACAAGACTGTGCAATATAGCATATGTCCACACTAGTGCAGACATGTGACGCTTAAGACAAAACTGTTTGTACTACGCTAACATTCCCAAAGTCATTTTTTTGAAAGTCTTTAACGGACAAAGCGACGGGAGGAGAATCACGAGTTTTAATGAAATACAGCGCAACGAAAAAGAGCACAAGCGGTCCAAGTTCCACCTGTGCCCCTTGCAGGTGGGGCTAGTGCGCAGATCCCATGCCATGCGATCACTGAGGGCTCCCGCGGCAGGTCCTTTTTCCCATGCCATAATCGAGACTGGGATCATCGATTACGTCTAGAGCGCCTTCATTGTAGGTTAATTATTATCTCTTTTACGGGGCATGAAGGGTATGCTCGTGCCGCCTCACAGACCCAACATTTTAGAGACTATGCACGTTCGGGTGTTCTGCAAAGGGGGGTGGCATCTTCCTGACCAACGCGAAGACTGGTCCTGAAGGGAAGACACCGCTGATCACGCGGCTAGGCATTTGCGCTTACGTTGATGACGACGCTGCCATCACCAACGAAGCCGCACGCACAACCGACCTACCAGTGCGATGCCACCCGGCTTGCCCAACCTCACTCTGTGCTTCTGGACCTAGCCGCCATGATCAGGTCGAAAGGTATAGATAACTGGAAAGCTGTCAACAGAGTCCCATTCATGGGCACTTTTTGTTGCGATCCCTCCCCAAGAAGAGTGCGCACTTCCTGGAACAGATGCTCCGCAACTGCGGAGGAAGGAGTGCAGTGGAAGTGGAAAGAAACATATGTGCTTGCAGAGCTTTTGCTTTTGTGTCTCTTCTTACGAAAGCTAGCCGCAGGCTGTTCGGCCTGCATACCATACTGGGTGAATCTTTCAAAGGTCTGGAGGGTACCAACGGCTATGGAGCCAGTGGGGAGTGCCCAGTGTTTCAGAACAGACTCTGTCGTGCGGCCACCATGCCACAGGTTTAGAGAAGAAATCACACGTCTTTGGTTTCTCCTGTTGATTTGTTTTCATTTCTTTTCAACTTTCAATATGTCGATTTTAGCCTTTTTTCATAGCCTCCATGGGAATCTTGGCGCGGCGGAGAGGCGCAACCAACAGATGGAGGAGGAACAGAACCGCCTGAAGTGGGAGAACAAGGACCTGCGGACACGCCTAACTTGCGCGGAGACGCTCCGAAGGCAAAATGGCGCCACCACGTGCCGAGGCCCCGCCTGGAAGCCCGAGGGTTGCTGCAAGCAGCAGGACGGCTTCTGAGTTGGAAGATGGCTTGGAACAGGATCGGCAGAAGCTTTGGAGCCGTGCAAAATGAAAATGACGAGTTGGATCATTCCGCCTCGGATCAGTGTTGCTCACTTCTTGTGCAGATTGAAAAGGTGGATGACATCCTGGCCCCTCTTCCAAGAATTCTTGAGGACGTCTTCCGCATGAAAGTCAAGAAGGAAGAGGAACGGAATCCACAAAAGCCAGAGAAGGCAATCGAGATCCGGCGTGATTCGACGACAGTGTATTATCACTCTACCGTGATCAACGGTGGAGATTGCAATTGTCCCATCACTTTTGGAGGTGAAGTTTGGAAAGAAGCCCAGGAACAAAGTGTCAGGGCTGCCAATGCGACTGTGGAAGGACTGGCTTTGCTGCCACCCTAGTGCAGACATGTGACGCTTAAGACAAACTGTTTGTACTACGCTAACATTCCCAAAGTCACTATTTTGAAAGTCTAACGGACAAAGCGACGGGAGGAGAATCACGAGTTTTAATGAAATAAAGCGCAACGAAAAAGAGCACAAGCGGTCCAAGTTCCACCTGTGCCCCTTGCAGGTGGGGCCAGTACGCAGATCCCATGCCATGCGATCACTGAGGGCTCCCGCGGCAGGTCCTTTTCCCATGCCATAATCGAGACTGGGACAACTGAGTCTCATTCATGGGCACTTTTTGTTGCGACCCCTCCCAAGAAGAGTGCGCACTTCCTGGAACAAGAATCCCCACGGCGGAGAGGCGCAACCAACAGATGGAGGAGGAACAGAACCGCCTGAAGTGGGAGAACAAGGACCTGCAGACACGCCTAACTTGCGCGGAGACGCTGTGAAGGCAAAATGGCGCCACTACACGCCGAGGCCCGCCTGGAAGCCCGAGGGTTGCTGCAGGGCCGAACTGCAGTGAGAGCCTTCACCAGATTGCTCACCACAGGCCTTTTTGATAGGCGAAACGTTTCGGCAGGACCCAACAACAGCCTTCATCCGGAAGCGTTCTTTTCGACAAGCATGCAATCGAACCGCTCGACATGGCACCACCATCCAAGGGAATACCACACACCTTGCATAGTCTGGGTTTGAGACTTTTCGACTGCACATACCTGTCCTGCCGCCACGAGGCACTCTAAGCAACGTCATGATGCAGCTGATTGCCTTGAACTGTTTTTCGAATCACTTTCGAACATTCACGAATTGGGAAAATCACATCACGTATTGCTTTTGCCTTCACCATGTCTATCACATCCGATAAACTCTCCAAAGAATTCCGTCCGCGCTATGATTTTCCACGTGTGGCCAATGCCAATCTGCATACATTTCATACTCCCTTGATCAGCTCGTTGCCTTTGTTTGGCCATCGTAAAAATGCGCTCAAACGACCGAAGGCTGTCACACTTGCTCAACGAGAACAAGGCCATCATGCCAAGTTAGCCGGATCTTCGACCTGGCAACGATTTGCACAAGCCGCTGTCCAGACCATTGATCGACCCTGGAGCTAGCCGAATGCCGAGTTTCTTGAACAACCACACTTGAGCCTTCGTCAACAGGTTGATGCTCATTTTCCACAGAAGGCTGCCAAGCAACCAGATTGGCTTGTCATGGAATCATCAACTACTCACAAATGGCAGATTTGGTCCCAATTCAAAACTCATGCGGACTTTGATTGCAGTCATTGCACGCACGCCGTGCCCAGGAATGGAGATGCAGGAAGCCTCTGAAGCCGCGTCATGTCATGACACATACAAAGCCTACCAACTAATAAACAGCCTTGCTCCCAAAACAGTTCACAAGCGCATCCAGCTTCGAGACAAACTAGCTAACCCACTGGGCCCATTGGAAGCCCTTGCCTAGTTGACAAGCTTTGTTCGCTCATCGTGGACACACCCATCACAGCCGGGTGTGCCGCCTCGAGTTCGTAAACCGCTGGAGGCCACTGCCAGTGGATGACATGCCGTTTGATGTTCACCAACTAGCTAAAGCCATCAGCCGAATCAAGTGGTCCAAGGCTGTTGCTTCCCCGTATGCACCTGGTGACTCCTTTGAGCCTTTTACTGACATTTTGGCCCCCAGACGTTTGAGACGCTGCACCATTGGTGGGACAACAACCTCCCTACCTGCCTCAGACTTGGAAGGACAGTTGGCTTGTTTTGCTAACTAAACCAAATAAGCCCCCTCATTGCCCAGCTCACCTTCGACCCCTCGCATTGCAAGAACCCCGAGGCAAAGTGTCCTGACGCTGCTTGCCAAGCAATTGAGACATCATGCATTTGTTGCCCTTAGTCAACTGCCGCAGTGGGCCTAAGCCTATGTCCAAGGAAGGGGCGCCGGTGATGCACTAGCTCGCGTGGCCAAGCACTGCCACGAGGTTCGTGCCATGCTGCAAGGCCAGCTCAACGCACACCTCATGTCATAGCTGCTGGACTTCCTGTGATGCCCCTTTGTGGAGGGCTCCAACTGTTCATTGACCTAATGACACGGTTCCCCAAGAATTCATTTTTGAAAGCCGAGACGCCCTGCAGGTGCCACCCCTGTTGCAAGCCATTGCTTGAATGGCATAGTGACACAAATTACATCGTCCAATCCGGCTCGTTTGTTGATTCGATCCCCACCAAGATTGGCAAAGGCAAGGCTGTACCTGTGCACCTGCCCTTAAGAGTGTTGTCATGTGGCACCTGCTGTGCAGATGTGTTGACAGATTTGGTGATTGCCTCATCTTGTACACTGATGACTTTCATGCTTGTGACACTTTCAATAGTGAAGCTAGTCTGCTGCAAAGCCTGACTCGTTTGGGTGCGCTCCTGGACCTAATCTCCGACATTGGTCTGCAGATCAACCTGTCGAAAACGCAGATAATTTTGGCCCTGAAGGGATCTAAGCAGAACCAGATCCTTGCCAGATCGTTGGTACATCCCCTTGCCTGGCCAAAATGGTCGGTCGTACCAGATTCGTCTTGTGAAGCAAGCTGTTTACTTAGGTATCATAGTCAGCCACAAACCTTTTCAAGATGTCATTGTGGATTCCCGCAGCTTCAGTGCTGCGCAGCTGAGTCTTTGATGAGGACGCTTGAATGGTGTCAGCTTCCTCTTTTGGACCATCAAACCCGCTTCATGTCACCACCTCGACCGTTGAAGTCTGGGAAAAGGGCGGCCCTCACTGTTTGCTGACTTTCTACTGGATTGAAGAACTAGATTGGTCGCAGGTGACCTTGCAAGACTGCATTTCTTCCTGGATCACACATTATGGCATGAAGTCTGCCTACTATGTGAATGCCCCGTGTTCATCAATGGTGAAAGTCCGATCCGCATGGCAGAGTATCAGGTGATCCGTCTCCTCTGCCACACAGGTGATCGCTCAGGAGGACACTATTGGTCACTCTTGAAGCTCCCCACTGCTGGCTGGCTGGAAAAGAACGATGATCACGTGTTCACCGACACCTTTGTGATCTTTCTGACGTGTGTTGAGGACCCCCGTCCATCGCAGCAGCTGGAACAACTGCTCCTGATGTTGAAAGCCTGAGTGACCGACCCTGGACACTTTTTTGGGCCAGAAACACCATGGCATTTGCACAAAGCTTCCGGCTCCCATAACAAAGAATGGGATGCCCCCACAAGACGACTCGGCGTCCGACAAAGACACCAAAAAAACAATCCATCCATCCGCCATCCATCCATCCATCCATCCATCTCCCAGTCTCCGCCAGTTTCTCCCAGGACTTTGACAAGTGCAGCTGCCGGTGCTGTCAAGCGACTGAGCGGAAAGACCAAGAAGTGGAACGCAGTTCCTACGGGCCCCTCGGCGACAGACAGCGGGGTTTGCTGGTGGGCGTTTCTTTGTGCGGCGGCGCCGGGGGGGCCGGAGAAAAGGCCTAAATTATATGTTCACAATGATCCATGGGAGGTTCAACATGTGTATTATGATGGTATTAGAACGTAACAATATGTAATGTATTGGTTGTTTGTGTTTTTGACTTGCCATGTTTGTTGGTTCTGTTCTTCCAAGATTGGTTTCTTGGAGTGTTCATTCCCAACAATCCAGCCCCGCATCTACAAGACCAGCTGTGCTGTCGGCTGATTCGGCGTGTTCGGGTCACGGGCACCACGGTACCGATTTCCGGTTCTTCCCCTGGTGTGAATCAAGCTCGCTGGCTCGCTCGGAGAGTGGTCAGGCCAACCATCGCGCACCTGGCGGGGTCGCGACGGGTCACCGAAGCCGCCGCAGGTCGTTGCTGACGCACAAGTGCGTCCACCCGTACCCAGCCACTGAGAAGTGCCCCGCCGAGTGCACGGCCAGTCATCGCCTCGAGGTGGGGGGTGGGATGAGTTCGGGGTGGTTTGGGTGATGTAACATCCCCTCAACGGATGTGAATCCCCTGAAACTGGGGATGTGATTTTTCCTGATAGTTTCCATCTTTTTTGAAGGTTTTTTGTTTGTTCCTGGCATTTCTGCTCTGGCATGTGCAGGGTGAAGAAAACGCGGTCGGATCAGATCGGAATAGGATGAGAGATGATGTGAGGTCACGTGATCCTTGCCCGGCCCGAGACCAAGCGAATCCGATTGAAACTAAAGATGTTAATTATGGAAGATCAACATGTAGCATCGACCATGTTTGGAAAACACTTCATTACTGTACCTGAACCTTCAAACAGATGTGTAGGGTGTCCATTGGAGACCCTTGGAAGGTGCTGTTAGGGACGTTTGCAAACACCGCCAGGCTGCACAAACCGCTGCGAAGGGCGTCCTGGACTACGGTCGTTTCTGCTTCCATGCTTGTACGCCGACGGTGATGGTCAACGGATCGGGACACTCAGATGGAGCACAGAAGCTGGGAGACGCTGGGAGCCATGGTCCAATAGGAGACACATCCATGATTTGTTTTCTTTTTAGGCACTAAGAAAGCGATCTTAAAATGGTATAATAGCACCTTTGTACAACCTCATATCCTCCATCCTCTTCCAAATGCAGCTGACCAGTTGCGTTGCCAGGTTTCGTGACAGCCCGCACTCGTCCGGACGATGTTTCTCGAAAACCGGTTCGTTCGGAGTGCCTCCGTCAGGCCCGAAGGGAAAGGGTTTTCCTTCCAGTTCGATGTGGCAAAAAAGACCAACAGAGGCCCTGGAAGTCAAGTCGACCATGTTTAAAATGATTGATCTGGTGACTCGTAGTGTAAAACCCTTAGTAAAACAGCTCGGTGGTTCGGGTTTCAGGCTATTAAAACAATGGTGGTTCGACTTCTAGGGAGGTAGGTCAGAAGCCGCAGGTGACGGGGCTATCCTAGTTCCGTCAACCTCTGGTACCCTGGAAGTCAAAGACGGTTTCTAAAATGGTTGATCCATGTTGATTTGGTTTAGTACTTGTGGGGTAAAGGAGATGTTCAGTAAAGGCGATCAAACAAATGGTGTTTTGACTTCCACGGTATCGACTTTGGACTTCTGGGGGAAGTTTGGACAAAAGCACATTGATCTTGGAGGTGATTCCATCGTCCTTGTCTTCTCCTGAAAAGCGCGGGAAAAATGGAACCGCTGCAAGAACATGAAGCTTAAACTCCAACCAGTTCATGAAGCTTAAACTCCTACTGAGTCCTGGTTTTGCTTATTATTTGAGGTGTGTTTGTTTCCTTATTTCGTCCATGACATGTCGTTTTTTTCTTTCCCCAGCTCCTTCGAGTGGAGCGATGGCGTTCCCATGTCGTTCCCATGTGGTTCTCTTGGTCCTTTGACTCGGCAGAATTCGATCCCGGACTTTTGCGCAGTCAGAGAGGCCCTCGTGAGGCCCTCGTGACCACCGGGCAACTCCCGGACTGTGCAGGTGGCACCTGCTCAACGCCCGAGGAGGCCGCAGCGCTCCGGGCCGCCGCGGCGGGGAACGCGGCGAGGAACGCGGCGGAGGCATGGCATCCGGCAGACATGAAACTTGGCCCAAGACCTTTCAACAAATGGCAGGTTGACCTGGTCTGGTGTTGTAGTGGTTGACCTGGTGTTGTAGTGGTTGACCTGGTGCTGTAGTGTAATATCCACTTTGTAAAGGTTGGGATTCGGACAGGAATCGTACGGTTGGGATGAGTTGGGTGAAGTTGTTTTTTCTTGAGGAAACCCATGGTTCAGAAAAGCCATGGGACGATATTTTGACCGACTGAAGTAAAGGAACTTCCTAGACTCGGGTCACCTAGTCAGACCATTTGTTTAATGGTCGACTTGACTCCCAGGGTGCAGATATAGGTTGAACTGCATGCCTCAAGCTTCCGCAGTTGACTACACGTCGTACGTAAGTACTACGCCAGCACCGCAGTTCGGCTGCGCCATCCTTGGTGCCGAACTCCCTGGTGCTGGTCGTACTCTTCAAATGAGGAGGTGTATGAAGCAAGAGTCTACAGTAGTTGGTTGGTGGATCTCAGTTGGAAGAGTCTTCAAGGGGTCAAGCCATGGTTTACCGTTCATGAACTTTCCATGTTCGTCACTTCGATGTAGAGTACGTTTCATTAAGTGATTCAAAAAAAAACAATCACACAGTTTCAGCCCTCAAAGCATACAGTTTCTTGCCTCATGAAACTATAAAGGTTTGGCCGGAAGAACTACAGCTGTTGGGGTTTTCCCATGCCAGCAGGAGCTCAACCAAAACAGTACGCATTGCAGCAACAGGCACTGGCAAGCAGTTCTTGCCAACTTTTCGTCATGAGGTATGGGATGAAGATTCCAGCAACGATGCAATAGGAATGCTGCTGCAATGCAGGATAACCTTGAAGCAGGAATCAGGAAGTAGGAGAAACCTTTATTACACAGCTGGAGAGAAAATGTCTTAGACTTTGGCACTCCAAATGTTCTCTCCATGCAGCCCCCCGTGTGTTTTCCACAGAACACTCTCCATGTAGTTGGTTGGGTCAGCTGCCAGCTGCCTCCGCTTATAGTGGTTTCAGAGTAGATGGCACAAGATGCCCCCGTTGGGTGGTTTATGTGGACCCCCCCTCTAACACATCGAAACCTTTGCAACTGTTCGCAGCAGAGGCAGACATATTGATATCCAGGCTCATCTAGGTCCGCCCATAGACTCAGGAAGATCTCTGAGGAGCCGCAGCTGGCCGCTGCACCCGCGCCTGCGCCTGCGCCTGCACCTGTGAAGCCAGTGGAAGAGGAGAAGGAGGTGAAGAAGGCCGTGGATGGAGCCGTGGGGGGGGGGCTGGCTTTGGAAGTTGCACAGCGAAACGCTCCATCACCGGGACTCCGATGTTTCAATCATTTCAGTCGGCTACTGACTTGAGTTGTAAATATAAGGATGTTGTCTACCCTAGCCTTCAAAGACCATTAAAAGACCGGTTGAGCTGGTGGTGTAGTGTAAAAATCCTTAGTAAAACAATGGTTCTTTGGGATTCAGACCATTAAAACCAATGGTTGGGAATGAATCCAAACTGGTCCTAAAACAATGGTAGCATTTGGACTACCGCACAACGCCAGGTGAATTAAAACACACCGTATCTCATGATGGTATACTATGTCAAACCGTTCAATCTTCACCCTAGAAGTGGAACCACCATTGTTTTAATAGCCGTTGCCGAACATCCATTGTTCTTAAAATGGTATTTGACTTCTAGGGTTCACCTTCTCGTACATTGTTGTCGATGTTTGCTGCTTGTGAAAACTAAAAGTCCACGTGCGCAGTCACGTAAGCTAAGGGGTGCGGACTCCATGGAGGAAGACGGGCTTAGGGGTGTCCCGAACCTCACATCCACGGACCCTGGATGGGACGAGCCACACCACCCCGACATGTGACTGCCGGTATATAGTATAAATTGAACTACATTAGTCTTTGGATGACCGTCATCAGTGCGGAATGCGGAAGGCCCAGCTGGAAGGCCCAGCCACAGAACCGTCCACACTGCCTCGGCCAGATCACTTGGGACCTCCGAAACATCCGCGCGCAGCGCGCCCGCGCCGAGCGCTACGCCGCGGACGCGCGAGCGGCCTATGCGGCGGAGCAAGTGAAGTTGCACACGCACGCGACTCGGAGGTTTGAAGTCGCCAGGGGGGCATGGGGTCACGGGGGTCACGGATAGCTGAAATTCCAGCTTAAGCTGGTTTGTATCATGAAGGTTATGAGTGGGGTGGAGTAAGAAGCATGCTTGGTCATCAAAACTGCTGTGAAGCAACACAGCCATCCACAGGGAGAGTCTTACGGACCCATCTCGGAGCCGCCAGGGCCGGAAGCCTTCGAGGCTCGGAAGCCTTCGACTTGGTCTTATGCAGGAGACTCCACTTACGGCCCTCTCCTCCCGGTGGCCGCTGGGTGAAGAACCGACCAAAACCACGGACACGGACGTGGCACCGTGGCGTGGCACACGACGGTTTTTCCGGTGGCTCAGGAGATCAAGAGCACCGTGAAGATGCTGGATCGCGTGAAGTGCCTGGGCCGATGAGAGTGGGACAGTGCAAACCTGCGGCATGGAAGAACGTCATCGAAGTACATTAAGTTGAAACGGGGAAGCACACAGAGCCTGTATCTTATTCATTGGCCATCGCTTGGAGGCCATCGCTCGCACGTTGGAGGCCATTCTTAGTGGGTTGGAGTCGGAGGCCATTGCTATTAGGTTAGGAGGCCATCGCTATTCGGTTGGAGGCTATTGCTACTAGGTTGTGGGCCAGCGCTATTAGGTTGGAGGCCATCGCTATTAGGTTGGAAGCCATCGCTATTAAGTTGGAGGCCACTGCTATTAGGTGGGAGACCATCGCTGTTTTTGTGGGAGGCCAAAGCTATTAGGTTGGAGGCCATCGCTATTAGGTTGGAGACCATCGCTATTAGGTTGGAGGCCATCGCTAGTCTTTGTCTTATTCATTGGCCATCGCTATTAGGTTGGAGGCCATTTGCTAGTAGGTGGAGTTAAAGCCCGTATCTTATTAATTGCATCATGTGGCAGGGACTTTTTTTGAGGGTGATCCTTTCTGAGGTGCATGGTGGGTTTGGTTGGTCTTTCCTGTGACACCCTGCATGGTTCGTTGGTGTGTGTATGTTGTTGATTTCATCACCATTTGTAGTGCATTGTTCGTGATTCAGTCATTCAAGGAGTCCATCAGGCACGGGCCAAGAGGCTGGAGGCAGACACGACGGCACGACGTGGGAAACCTTCGCAGTGAGGAAGAGTGTCAGCGAAGACACCAAAAGCTTTGAGCCCGAAGTGCTGAAGGCCAAGGCGACCCGGTCCGCGGCGGCGAAGCGAGTGGCATCGGCACCAGGGCATCGGCAGGTGATGTGTTTTGGATGGACGAAAAGGCAGAGACTTGGTCACAGGCTGGTCAGATCGAGGTACTTGTAGCCTAGAAGTCATAATATGAAGTCATTAGAAGTTCAAAGATGAGATGTGTTTTACTTGGTGAAGTAAAGGAAACTCCCGAAATCAGGTCCCCGTTCTTCAGACCATGTTCATCGTCGCGAGGATTTGTGGGCAAACAACATGAAACGACCACCTTTGTTTGGTCGCCATCTGTCAAACCACGCTCATAGGACAAAACACACGTTGAACAGACGAATGCATTATGAACAGAAAGTATGGTTTTGCCAAGAGTAACTAAAACAAAAAGTGTCCGGTCCGTCCCCGGTCAGTGGTTTCTTGGTCGATAGAGTTGCGTCTTTCCAAACCTTCTGTTTTTTTTGGGGGGCGGAAACGAAGTTCGAGATGAGTCAACATCCATTCCCAGACGCTCCATGGGACTGCCATATATGCCGATCAGTTGGGGTGGTGCCAGGGGGGTCAATGTAGGCATACATATATGGCATACATGGAGTGTATGGGATTGGGTTAAACTTATTTCTCCGGCCTTCCTGATGTGTGCGGATGTTCCTAGGCTAAAAGGAAGAACTGGCGGGCAAGCCAAGTGCCTTCACTGGTCTGGGTTTTGCAATTCATGGCTCCCTCTTTATGGAACCATGAATTCCACTGCATCACCCTCGAATGTACCATGTTCTACGTAAATCTATTTTGCTGCTCCAACTGACAGGGACTTCAAGGACCCGGGTGGAAACGCCACTCGCGCCCCTCCATGGATGTTTTTCGAGGCCAATGCCAGCGCGGCCGGCGATGCTGCGGTGGAGACCTACAATGTGACCCGGCACCGAGCGGCGCGCGGGGCGAGGGATCCGGCAAACCGGGTTTGTCCTTCGTAGACGACGACGGGGACGGGAGGGGTCCGTCCACGTGAGGGAGTTCGGAGCGTTCAGGGCTTTGGACCCCGAGTCGTGTGGAAAAAGCCCAGGTGTTGTGGTTCTTTGTGCGAGCAGAGGGAGTAGAATTTTAAACATGATTTGATGAGGAGCACAGATGAGTACAAGCAACTCTCGAAATTTGTGCCATTGATTCTAACATGTCTGTAGTCTTTAGCTTCCCCAGGGATCCTTGTTGGAGAAAAATATTAGTTGCAGCAGGTGTTTCTTTTGCCAGTGTGTTAGGGGTGGACGATTCTCTAGCTGTGCCAAAACACCCTGTATGGAATCGAAGCCACCTCGCAGAAAAGGAAGTTTGTCGTATACCAGAATTCTTGAGAATTGGATAGAATTCTTTGAACACATGTGGAGTCATTCTACTGACATGATATGTATATATATATATATAATGATCCTTTATTTCGTCTTCTGACTGGTGCGTCGAAAGCGGGGAATGAGGGTGGCTGGATCCAATCTCTACTCTTGGGGGCGAGCTCCTTCCCGTAACTTCCCTACTTTCGTCGCACCAGTCAGTCTTCATTGGTATCATCCAGAGCCAGGACTCCACCGGAGCGACCTTTGGCAGAACAGGGAAATGCCAGCAGAGCTTGCAACAGAGGAAGAACCCCAGCATGGCATCGCATAGGTACCCGGTAGGTACCCCATGTGACTGGCCCCCTATCACATCAGGTCATCCAGAACTTCCGGAACTTGACTGAGCTACCCGCCAGCAGTCACCATGGCGGCCACCGTGATCCAAGTAGACTTCTCAAAGGGAGACCATGAGTCATAAATTGGACTCAGCCTGACCAGGGCTCACCTTCACCGGTTCCCGAGTGTGCCCAGGTCTTCAAAAAAGCCAAGGCGCAATCTCGCAAGGCGTGGCAAAACCCGCAGGAGAATCAGATCCACTGGAGAATTCTTTTGAACTTTGGAGAAGGGGAGTCAGATCTCACGTGGAACCCACGGCTTCCGTGGCAGGGACCCATGCGGTGAGAGTTCGGTTGACCTGGTGGTTCCTGGTTTGGTGGTCTAAAAATGTCTATAAAAAAATCCTATAAAGTGATAACAACAAAACATGTCTAAATTAATCATAGTTCTAGACATCTATCTAAACATATAGTTCTAGACACATCTAAATGCTTTTGAAAGGAACACGTTTGTTCCACCTTTGCTCGGCTTGTTCGACGTCTTGCTCGGGCGAGACTCGAGACGTCGGAGACGTCGTCGTCGTCACGCATGGAGAGACCAGGACATCGGGAGTCCACACAGAGGGCTCCAAGTGTTTGAGCATGTTTGTTTCACCAATTCCAACAGAGGTGGGTCAGAACCTGCAGGTTTTCCGGGTCTATCCTTGTATAGACTGTGACGGGTCCCGCAGGAGACACCTGCAGGTCCGCAGGTTCAGGTCCTGAAAAACCTCTGCTGGTAAGGAGTTTCGCTTTGTTGGAGCATCATGTTAAGTTTCATTGTGCTGAGCTCTGGAGATCTGCTTCTTCCCAGTCTGTGACGTCAGCCTGTCAGGGTATGATCCACTCGGATAGACTCGGGGGCCGGTTCACACCAAAGAGACGCTAAAAGGACACGCTCAAAGGACAGGAACCTACTGCCCCAGAGGGCACCTGATGTGGTGGACTTCTTTTTCAACGTGATGTACGAAGTCTTGTAAACTGCATCGACGTGGGCCACGTATGCGAAACACCAGTGTTTGACCATTTGGGGCACCACCTAAGTGTTCAGGAAATTCCCGAAAGACTGTTTAAGAATGGTCTTGGACTCCAGGGTATAGTCTTTAGATGTTTTTAGACTTCGACACCAGGCCAGTTTCGACACCACCTTCCACCCATTGGAATTCACCAATTCCGACCAAAATGTTGGGAGAAACAGCCGAACACATGTGGTTCGTTGGAAGGTCCATCCTTCAAAATACACGGTGCCCGTCCTTCAAAACAGGTGGACTCCCCGAGACACGCAGGACCCGATGGACCCGGTGAACACAGGAGGAAGAACCCTTCTTCCGACCCAACAGGACCCTTGTTCCCGACAGGAGTGAAAAGGAGCATGTGAAAAACATGGGAAAAATGCTGCTGTTGTAGTGTAAAACGTTGGAAAGGTGTACCTGAATCTGAAAAAAACGGTGGACCAGCTGCCTTTTCCCATCGTTTTCATGCATTCCCCCTACAGCCACGAACTAGGCAGACATTGGGCATCGGTTGGAAGATCCAGGGTTTTCCATGCCTGGTCCAGCACCAATCCAGCACCAATCCCAGCTGATGCACGTCAGGTCCGGGCGGAGACCAGGGACCTCGCTCGGACGCCGCTCGGTGAAGCGGAACCGGTGCTGCGCCTGGTGGGGACGCAGGTGCTGCGGTGGGAAGAAGGCATGGCCACCGGAAGCAACAGAGGGTTTTTCAGAAGCCTAGTTCGACTATCCATGACTATCCCATACCCATACCCCAGTATGGTCATCAAAACCGTCACTTAGCCTCTCTTGGAGTACCCTCGCTGTTCAGGGTCGTGGATTGAAGGTTTGGATGGCCTGAGATGGCATCGGTGGAAGGGGCGGATGGCACGGATGCTGAAAGTTGGAGTGAAAGGTGGCTCTTTGAGAAGTGTCAGCGTGATGTGACGAGAACCCTCAGTTTGGGGAACGATGACCTGGTGATCAATTTGATCCAAAGCTTGGTGTTAAAGTCTCCTGGGTTGACCGCGCGGTGAGTTTTACATGTTACATGGCATTTTTGTCGTCGATGCCTCGGAGAAAACGACGCCACTGTTGGCCACTGGAAAAGTGAAACTTAAACGGACTTGAAAGCGTTACAGGTTTCTTGGATGTGTGTCGGAGCATCCACACCCCTTCTCAAAGTTGTTGTTGTCGTCCCCTGCTTTTTTACCGACCCCCCAGAACAACATTCTAACAACAGTAGCAACAGACCAGTCCAGACTCTAGTGAAGCAAGAGTCGAACAAGTCCAGCTACTTGCGAAGCCAAATAACATTCCCTCAAACCTTCAACCGAGTTACTGCATGTGACAACTATGTTGGGCGGCTGTGTTGCTACTGACGACGACGACGACGACGACGACGACGACCACAACAACAACAACAACAACAACAACAACAACAACACCACCACCAACAACAACAACAACAACCGCGACGACAACCAGAAGAAGACGCTTCGCCGCCCAGGATCATCGCTGAAGCGGCGGCCGGTGCGGCGCAGGCGGAGGCTGAGAGCTTCGTGCGGCGGATGCACCAGGCTGAGGTAGCCAACTTCCGTGCGCAGGTGGGCGAAGAAGACGTCTGCGACGCGCGTGTGGGCCCTTGCATGGGGCCCTTGCGACGCGTGCGCAGGTTTCGGGGAGGGGCAGCTGGTGGGCAGGCGAAACTACTGCGATGTTTGATGATACAGGTTTCGGCTCCCCAAGGATGACGAGCTTTTACAATCCAAGAGAGGTTAAGTGACCTTATAGGACCCTACTGGGGTACCTATTGTGATAGCCTGAAGGGTTCTTCAACCTCTGTTGGATGTTTTGCAATCCAATGGCGCGTGCTCCCATCCTTCAAGAGTCTACGTTGGGCTGGACGGATCGACTGGGAAATGGAGACTTCATCATGGGATCATGTAGAAGTCAAGCGTCAAAAACGCTCTCAAGGGACCCGAACCAACTAAGAATCCGGGCCCTCAACACATATATGGGTTTGGTTCGGGTCCGGAACCCCTGCGAAGGTGTCGGGTCCGGACCCCTGCCATGGAGAGCCCGTAAGGAATTCTTAGATATTCTTAGGGTGGAGAAATCCCGGTTTCTGTGGTGGTGCCCAACAAATCGTCAGTCGAAAAATTTGGTGATGAATTCTGAAGTTCTTCGTTCGCATGAGGGGCGAGACACAGGAGGAGAGTCCCTTGCGCCGGGAGATGCGTCATTTTGCGTGCTGAAGAACCATTGAAGTTGCAAAGGTCCTTGTTTTTGTGTTGTTGTTGGGTTTTTTTTTCGGACGAAGGAGAAGTGATCGGCCTGATAGAAGTGATAGAAGTGATGTGTTTTTTATTGAATTGTTTTTGTTTTTCAAAGTTTCAAGATCCATGGAGTTACAAGTGTCTGTGGATGTGTTTTTTCGCACGTGCAAAAAACCATTGAACACAGGAGACGCTGCGATTTCATGGCCGCTGACCGGAAGTGGTGGACAGTTGGACAGCTAGAGGATGGTCTCTGCATTCGTGTGAACATCCCGGACCCTCCATGGGACCATGTTCTTGTTATAGCTATAGGTCCTATAGAAGTCCAGTTCCACGATCTTTAGCACCACCGAAGTAAAAGATGTTCCGAACTCGGGGTCATCGAAAGACAACTGCATATGTTGTTCTGTTCCAAACGAAGAGTCGACTGGACCCACAGACTTAGACATGGGGGGCGTGGCATGGCGTGGCTTGGCTTCCAGTCCAATGGAGTTGGACCTATAGAGGACCTGGTTGGACCTGGAGGACCTGGTTGGACCTGGAGGACCTAGTTGGACCTAGAGGACCTAGTTGGACCTAGAGGGCCATGGCGATCCTCAAGACCTCAGAACCTGACTCTGCTTGAGAGAAAGGTCTCACCTGGGAGAGAAAGTGGACTCACCTGGGCAAGAACTTGGCAAAACGTCCACCGTCTTGTCGCTTGCCCAGGTGTGGAAGTGTTGGGGGGTGGACACATGTGGACAAGGGGGCGCAAGATTTGCAAGAATCGTGGAAGGGTGTCGAAGTGCCTCCCAGAAGGAGAAAGTACACCCTAAGAGCTTTCAAAGACCATTCAAAGAGTTCGGTGGACCTGGTTTTTGTAGTCTACCCTTGGTAAAACAGCGGTTCTTGGGCAAAACCGTCATTAAATCAAAGCTGCTTTGAATCCCGGGCATTCTTAATCTACAGAGGAAGTCATGTTTGCAGTTTGCGGCATCTCAAACCCTTCACAGGTGGCGAATCAGGCTAGTTTGCCCTATGCCGGTGGCGTCACCACTGGCATCTCGGTCATTGTCCGAGGATGAAAGGTGTTCGATGCGGGATTGCACAGACGGAGGTTCCACAGATCTTAGAAATTGTGTGTCCTCCGGGTTTGCTTAGGTCCGGTGACGGTGAGTGTGGTTTTTCCTATCAGTGAATCCCCTAGCATGGGGAAGAGTTCTTGGTCAAACACCCAGCTTTCTGGACAGCAAATCCGACGTTCTCGAACTGGTCCAGTCAGACCTTCCATAAAAAGCTGGGTCCAACCGACCTCATTGAGTACTGTTTTGGCATTTTCCCAGAGTCAGTGAAATGAGGGTCCATATGACCTGTTGGATGAATTTAGGCCTTGCGAGCTTGAGGGCTTGCGGGCAAAGCCCTTTTACCACTCATCAACATCCTCAAAAGTGTTCGTGTTCAGTTTTTAGGCCTTGGTAGGTGGTAGTGCTGGGAAGGTTAGTTGGGCTTTTGAGTAAACAATGGAAGCATGGTGTATGGTACTGGTGTCGCCTGAACCCCTTTCTTGAAGGGTTTGGGGTCGGGACAATCAAGGACATACATATAAGATCCACTCTTAGCTTTAATCTAACCACAAGCCAACCCATATATCAAGACAATCAAGATGAAGGAGGGGCTGTTTTTGGAAGGATTTAGGTGCTCTTTCAGTGTTTCCTGATGCGTTACTTTTTGCAAGAAAACCGAATCAAACTCCGCCCCCTGGAACAGAAAGAAACCTGGAAACCCCAAACAACCAGAACCAGACTCCCTAGTCTCAGCCACTTCCTATGTAAAGGACCTCAATGCCTTATTGGAACAACCATTTGTTTCTGGTTGGTTGGGTTTTCAGGAAGATACGAACGCTGCTTCCATCAACTACCAATTGATCTGCAAAAAAAGGCAAGTCTATCATAGAACGGACGCTTCGTGCGGAAAACGGAACGCCTCTCAGGCTAGGGAGACACGGAAAGTGGAAAGAAAGACCTTTGGGATCCTTTCAAAGTCAATGAACCCCTACACGCCCCTACAAGTCCAAGGACCAAGTTAATCCTGGTCCTTTACCTCATTGAGCACTGGTTTTGCATCACCGGACCCAGTCAAAGGAGGTCCTTGACCTGTAGGGAACCATTTGGTCACATGGTCCTGAACTCATCCAGCCCCAACGCCCTCCGCCCTCCATCCCCCCACTGAGGCGTCCAGCGGGAGGCGGAGTACCGGAAGCTGGCGGAGGACTCCGACGTGACCGCGCGCGAAGCGGAGGCGGGATGCGTTTCATGCGTTTCGGATCGGGAGTTGGGACGGGATCAGTTGGGAGGAATTGGTTTTGAGCGGATGGATGGGTTTTGTTTGTGTTGTTTTCGGGAAAGATGACATAAATGTGCGTCACTGATGTGTCCCCATGGAAGGAGCAGTGTGAGGTGTGAGATGGAATTCCTAACGATCTTCTTCTAGCATTTTCTAGCCCTAGCCTTCCAAGACAAGTGAAAAAAGTGAAAAGATCTGGTGTTGTAGTCCAAAATCCTGAGCAAAACAGCTCGGTTGCTTGGTGTTTTGCACCATGCCAGGAATCCTGAAGACCTCCCATCTTCCAGGTTTGGCTCAGGGAGTCCAGCCCGAGGTTTGCTCAGAACATGTTCAGCAGCGATCAAGTCATCAGAGAGGTCGCTCAAATGAGCGATCGGGAGATTCGATGGACGCTGAAGAACAAATCAGCTGCCCCGAGCGAATTGAGGGGGTGAACTTGTGGCTCCCTAAGAATCCGGGCCCTCAAACACATAGGGTTTTGATGGGTTTTGAGGGTCCGGACCCCTGCCATGGAGAGCCCAAGGATTCTTAGGGCTATAGAATTCACTAAGTGAATTCACCCTCGACCCCTCAATTTCACCCGCCTTAACTGCGGGAACCTTCCGCGTCTAGACGCGGACCAAAACCATTTGAGCTACTGATTGGGGGATTGGTTATGTTGATGGTGAAATGCAACTGAAAAATAAAAGAGGTGGAGATGTTTGCTTAGACCGTGTTCAACGAATTCAGGCATTTCCTTTACTTCGTGGGTGCCCAGAGTCATCTTTCGACTGATCTAGGGCCTAGGGCTTGGTGAACCCGGAAGTGTCCAAGGGAAATGGCTCAGAAGTCGGTCGGTGCCCAGATACAGATGGATGATGCTGAGAAAGAAGCCAAGAGGCTGGAACAGTCTGACAGGCGGGAGACCGGCGGTGGAACCGGCGGGGACCGGCGACCCGGTTTGTTTCACGGGTGGTTTGGCTCACGGGTGGTTTGGTCATTGTGAGACCCCAGGTGTTTGTTTTGTTTGAGTAGTTCATCATCGTGTGTCTTCGGATCATTTGGAGCTCCAGCTGTCCGAGTCGGATGGGAAAAGCTCTCAGCCGAAATCAGACATCGAAGCCGCCTGAGGTGCTCAGTACGAAGCCAAACACTGCCCGTTTGGACCGAAGTGTTAAAACGGTTCGCTGGGATGGTCGGGGTGGATGGATGCCAGGAGCTACGACTGGAGCAGGGCGAAGGTAGATACGACTGGAGCAGGGCTCGAATGGAATTTGAACATGGAATTCCATTAGGTACCCAGTATTCCCCTTAATATTCCATTTGTTGGGATGAATGGTACGACTGGAGCAGACCAGTTTCCTTCAAAACACGATCCAGTCGTTCACCGATCGTGTGGCCTTCGCCCTCTCGCGACCCGGCCTGCAGTCGTGGTACGTATGTGGGATGGGCGAAAAAGGGCTGTTCAACCCTCTCTTGGATGGTTTTGCTTATAAGATCTTATAAGGGGTGTTGGTTTTGTCCCGAACTCGAATTCAATCATGGTAGATCCATATATCATATATATGTCAATCCCCTTCTGGGGGGGAGTTTTAGTCCAAACCCTTTGGTCACCGCCACTCTCCAAGTCACCGCTCCTCCTGCGCTCGCGCCGTCTCGTGCGCCGTTTCCTGGAAGCTCGGGTGGTGTTGGTCTCCGGGACCAAACGACGCAGCGCGACGCAGGGTGCTGGCTGGCATGAGGAACCGGGAGGCAACTGCCTTGAGACACCAGGCCCGACTGACACGACACCAGAGCCGAAGCGGAATACGGAACACCGGGAGGAAGGCGGGGCAGCGAAGGGGAAAAAGAAAGAAACGGCGTGAAAACAGGGTGGTGCCGCCTGTGGTCTGGATTGAAGCTGCTTCACGAAAGATGAACTTTGTTGAGAGTCCAAGTGTTCTGCAGTTTGTGGAGGTCTTTGAACCACAAGCTCAGGAGAATGCGAGCTGGGGAGGAACAAGTCAGTCTCTACCTTGTTTCCGCAAAGTGCGGTTGGGAACGGAACTGCACCCGGTTTGGGGCGTCATGGTGGTACAGGATGTCTTCCATGTCGGAGAGTCGACAATTAACAAGACCGGAGGGATAGGGAATCTAAATGTTCACACTTTAAGATGGATTCCATAAACATATATAATGATCATCTTCCTGATGTGTCACTTGAAGAGTCGATTTCTTCATATTATGTCTTCCATTCAAAAAAATAACGACCTGCGCAAATTTGACATCAAGTATGACAATTTGTGAAATGATGTGTTCCCTTTTTCTCCGTGACACTCATCACACTCATCACCTTCACACTCATACACAGCCCCCCTCTGGGACTCCCCTCCCTCCCATGCAGGCCGAAGATGCCCAGGCAGCAGCCTCCAGGCCGAACGCGTGGGTCGGCAGGACGTCGCGGGTCGCGAGTCGCACATGGCGTGAAACACCGTGTTCACGTGAAGGCCAGGCCTTCCAAGGCTGAAAAACATGTTCACCACGGCCTTTCAACGCCTTTGGCGTGACGCCGGTTTTGGCGGAGAAACGGATGATGCTTTGGATGTTCCCCAAAGAGGAAAGTGATGGGCAGGTGCTTTTGGTCTCCCAAAGATCCAAGGACCAGCAAAATCCAAGGTGCTCCTTTTCTGAACAAGTCAATGTTCACATTGGCGAGCCGACTCCCCATACACCTCAAAAAAACCTTGGTGAATAGCACCTCTCGTCCGACTTGCGGTGAAGTCCGACTTCCCAGAAAGCTGTTTGAACCGGCGCTGTTGGCAGGTATCGAAGCTTAGCCAAGAAGGCCCATTCCGCAGCCGCTGCCTGAAGGGGGGGCAGGCGAAATCGCATAGCAGGGCGATCTTCAGACGTTTTAGCAGGGAAGAAGGCGTCCGTAGTAGTCACGAAAGCTAGCGAAGCTAGCTGGAGTTACTCTTGCGATAGCAAGGTTTCTTTCGATCGGGTGCAAATCCTAACCCCTGATCTTTCAGGTCGAAGCCCCCCCCCC